TTCTTTCTTTCTTTCTTTCTTTCTTTCTTTCTTTCTTTCTTTCTTTCTTTCTTTCTTTCTTTCTTTCTTTCTTTCTTCGATTGACTGATTTGTTACTGTCAACATCCCCTCTATTGATATTAAACCCAGCCACATAACAGACACACTGCACATCCAGGTTCTTTCCTCACTTCCAAGGTTATCCAAGCCAGACAGGCTGAGGGGAGTCCGGGGTTTACCCCCGGAGTGGTGATGCCGTCTTAGTCCAGTCCTTTGTAAGGTGCGGTGTGAAAAGCTCTGTCCTGCTCTTTATACCCTGTTAGGGTGCCCAGATAGCAAGTGTGAAAAATTGGGATGGGGGTGGGGGGTAATAGGCGCCTGTATAAGACAAAGCCTCGAATATCGGGACTGTCCCTATAAAATTGGGACATCTAGTCACCCTGTACTCTGTGGTAACACTTGCTGCAGTCAGGGACCCATCCTCATGACTCAGAGAATCGATGAATTTCCAAGCCCTCAGGCTCTCCTGTCTGCCCCTTACTCCCCAGCACACCCCCTTCCAGGGGTGTTTCCCCCTCGTGGTTACATGCAGTTTTAGAATTTTAGTTTACTCCTGATGCAGAGAAATTCAGGGTCAGATTTGGCTCAGGCTGAATTTATCAAGAGGCACTGGTGGCCTGTATGTGTGTGCTGGGGAGAAGCCCAGGATGAATTATTTCATTCCTGGAGTGGCTAGTGTCTCCAGATCAACATCCAGGGCCATTTAAGTACCAAGTGTGGATGGAAGCTCAAGGCTGACTGAATTCCCCAGTGGAGAGTGGGCCCCTCCTGCTGAGATCTAGATCTGTCACACACTTGGGTTGAATCTCTTGATAGAAAGATCACACCTCCCCGTCTGAGCACTTTGCAAATCCATCAAACTTTCCCTCTTTTGTGTGTGCATGTGTTTTCCTCCTCCTGCTAATAATGCAGCCGAAGCTCATCTCCGTCTGTCCGTTCCCCTTCTGGAGAGGCACATTCTCTAGTCTTTGCGAGTTCAGTGGCAGCGCACATAATTATGCATATAAGATATAAACAGAGCTGTTTAATTATCCTTCGCCACATCAGTGACAGAGTAATTAACAAACATTGCAAGATCAATGAGGAAAAGTGTGACCTTCAGTTTCCTTTGATAGGAAAGCCCTTGTCGTTCCCAGACACAAGGTGATTGCGCCTGGACTCGGTTCGTAGTTTAGTTTAATTCCCCTTCTTTGCCCCTCCCCCCCACTGTTTGCAGCTCGGGATTGCAAAAAAGCCAAATGGGGTGGGGGGGAAAGGGAGAAAATAGAAGTATGTGGCCAACCTGTGGGAACTAAAGAGGGGCCAGCGGTAAGAGAAGAGAGGGATGCCAGCAATGTGCCTTTTTAGGTCCAAAGCATCAAAGGATCACATGCGAATGCATGCAGTTCTTGTGAGCAAGCAGGCCACGAGTGTGCAAGGTAATAGCACATATAGTGCCCGAATGGCAGGCACAGCCGTAGGGGTTGGACACACAAACAGAGGCACATGCAGGTTTCATGCACATGTTTTGAGAGTCCTGTTGGAAATGTGCCCCTGACTTCTCCCTGTAAGCCATGGGCTGAGGATTACTTTCGTTGGGAAGGATTGAGTTCTCCTCGTTTTCTCTCTTCATTTAAGCCAATCCAAATTCTGGGCTTGGCCACACTGATATTCAGACCTGGTGTAACAGGGTGCAACTCCCATTGAATTAGATGGGGTTGCAGTTGCTGACATGAGGGAGGAATTTGGCCCTGTGGCTTGAAAAAGCGGCTGTGTGGCTTAAGAGCAGGGGAATGGGAGGCAGGATTGTAGCTCCAGGGTTCTGGCTTGTCAGGGCACTCACTACCCTGATAACTACCTAGAGACCTTTCAGCAGGGCTCCTTCCTCCCTCATTCACTAAACTCTCCTGGATCTGATCCTGCATCTTTGCCAATTTGCACCTTGACACCTTCTCCAGGGGATTTCTTTCTGCTGCCCAGAATGAAAAACCCTATCAGAAGGGATTGAGTGGAGTGTGCAGAGAGCTTGCTGAGGACTGGCCTGAGCGTCAGAATTCAGGGCCGGCTTTTCAAGCCCCCAGACTCAGAAGCAAGATGGGACTCCGCCCAGGAGACACAATGAAAGGTGGAATCCCCTGTGGAGGGACAGTCTTGTTCTCTGCCTGGTTCCCTCCTCAGACACAGGGGGTTGACAAGAGCTGGTCTGAATGCGAGTCAGCTCCCAGCCTCACCTGGCGTGTTTTCCCATCTCTGACAAACAGGGAACATGTGCCAAATCTGAAAAGTGGGTGTTTGTCCGGAGACGGGTGACAGAATCTGTCACCAACACACAAACATGCTCATTCCTTCATTCTCACACATCCACAACCCTTGCACCCGGACTGATGCAGACTTCCCTACACATACTTTTATACACACCCACTCAGATCTCCCACATGGCCGTACACACACCGGGCTTACAATCTGTCCCACAGTAGGATGGTAGGGATAGTCACCCGGAGCCTTTTCCTCACTGAGCTTTCAAAGTTTCTTTCATTGATATATTTATTTATTTGTTTGCTTTATTTATTAAGCCTGCTCCATCCATCAGAAGGTGAACGTCTCCTCTTCTTCCCCCATACCCTCCCATAAAGCGGTTTCCTCCCCACTTATAATTTCCTGGAGAACCTCCCGCACTAAGAAGCATTTCAGGGGCATGCACCAGCACCCAGTTTCTCGCTTCTTTACCCTGTATCCTCAAAATCAGCGTGGTTTCCCCTCCTGGCCAGGACAACAGACGAAGCCCCATCTGGGACGCCCCATCCCCCGGTGTCCAGACCTTGTGCTCCATTTGGGCTGGTTTGCTTTTCCTTCCATATATAGTGTGCTGCTGCGGACTATTTTTAGCCCCCTTTTTTTTTGCTCGCTCCGGATCCTTCGTGATACGCTAGCTGCTCCGAGACACACAGATCTCTGCTCTTTGGCAATGCCCACAAATGGAGAGCAGCGGCAGGGGGAGAGGGAGCCCTTTGTTATCATGCAGAAGGGGAGAGAAAAATGGGCTGCAGGAAGAAGGGGACGGTGAGGGAGAGAGGCAGACCCAGGGACCGTGCTGCCCAGGGCACAGGGGGTTCAGCAACTATTGGGGAGGAGCACAGTCTCAGGGCAATATCCTCTCTGCAAGGGTTCACCCCCCCTCCGCCCGCCCCACCGTCAGGAACGGGGGACCAGGTGGCTCCATGAATTGGGATCAGGATAATACAGCTGTTGGCCTCTAGGTCTGTAGTTCAACAAAATGGTTCCCAGCTTGTGGCTCTTTGGTGGTTTGTGTGAAATGAAGTGGGTGGGTCTCCCAGTGGGGCAGGTGTCTGTGCTGTAGCTACCAAAGCTGGCTCTCACATGCCTCCGTCTCGGTAACCGCAGCACAAAAGCCCAGGGCTGGCTGGGCTTTGGGGACTGTCTCTCGTGGGTGCACCTGCAGGTCAGTGTCGAGGCACGCCGGCTGGGCAGAGTGCAGAAGAAACCTGCCCTGCTTTGCCTGAGATCTGCCTTGTTGGGGATAAAGAGAGGCCATTCGGATGGTTGGTCTCCCAGAACCTTTAATGTGATCGTACAGTACCGATCTGATTGAAGGAGAAGCAAAGTGGAGCCGTGGTTTGTGGGACTGGGGGTGAACAGCCAGTTCAGGCGGGGACTGCTGCAATCCTCCCTGGGACCTGAGCTCAGCCCCAGACTCTGTCCAGGTTTGGAAAAGCCCCGAGAGCCCCCCCCACCCCCCACCCCCACCAGTCATTTTGTGTTTTCAATGACCAAAGGTGATTTCCATTCCCAGTGGTGCAGTTTCCAGCAGCTCACAGAGCAGCATCTCCCAGCCTCACAGGGAAATTCTGGGTTTCCCAGGTCTCTTTTAAGGCTTTGGGTGTTTAATTTGTGCAAGGTCTGAGCCAGCCTGGGAGCTGCAAAGTTGACCTGGAATGTGGGATCCAAAAATGGGGTCTCCGCACTTCTGCTTCCTTTGCTCGTGCTTCAGGCTGGGAATTGGGAAGCCCAGGGCAAGGAGGTGCAGCTGGGGCAGAGGGAAGGGGGGTTGTTTCTCACCTCTTTGATCTTTCCACCAGTTCTGCCCTGAGATGGGGCAAAGGTTTTGTGGATTTTACCTAAAGCACAACTTGGTCTCCCACCTGTGGTGACTTCTGTAGGATTCGTGCATGTGTGCGCGCGATGGACACAGCAATGTTCTGATGAATGCGGGTCATCCCCACCCTCCAAGAGCAGGGGTAGGGACCGCCTGGCCCTGCCTTCCAGGGCAGCCATTAAAGCCAGTGATCACTTGCTGATTTAATTTCCTTTCAGATCCCTCCATGCTGCCCTTTCCCCCTTGCAGTTTGACTCGGGGTGGATGGGGTTTCACCAGGCCTGGGAGTCTGGGGAAACATGAGGGAGACCAGGGATCACTTTACAGGTCCAAAGAGAGATGAAAAGCAGAAGAGGGGAGACCGATTTAGTAGGAATAGGAAAATCTTAGGCCCAGGAGGGATTTTATGGGATTAATCACTTCCATTGGGGCTATAGGGTTACGCTGGGGTGGGGGTGGAGAAGAGGGAAAGGCAGCAAAAAGGTGAAAAGCATTAAAGCAGCAGGAAATGCTTTAATGCCTCGGCGTGCGTAAGTGAAAGGTGATGCCCTTGGGATCCCAGAGTGGGGAGGGGCCACGGGAGGTTGGGAAAGGGGGAGGTAAAAAGACCCCACCCCTGTGAGAGGAGCCCTAGATTCCTGAGGGTTTTTTTCCCCTTTCTTCCCTTGTGATGTATCATTTTCTGAGACTAGTTATCAAACACAGGTGCCTAAGTAAGGGGGCCTGGTTCTGCATTCAGGCACCTGTCTAGACTGACACTGAGAAACTCACATGGCTATTTGAGGGCTGGTATGCCACTTAGGGACAGCACATAGAGGCCTGGACATCCTGCTGGAGGGGAAATTGCACCCCTAGTGTGTGACTGGTTGGTCAATCTGCTCTTATTCCTGGTGTCTGGGTATAGTACGGGTAGGAGCACATGGTCTTTGGATCCAAGACTCTGGTGCTAAGCAGTGGAAAGGAGCAGTGTGCTCGACCGACTCTCAGTGCCACTGTCCTGAATTCTGTATCCTAGCTTAGCAGGCACCTCCTCAGACCTTTGCCGCAAGCATCAGCCTCATGCCCTGTGTCAGGGGGACTTTGGCAATTCCCTGGCCATGTGCCGGGTATACAGGCCAGCACTGCAGCAGGGTTTATGCCCCATGTGCCTGGCTGCATTGGGCATCAGTGATGTGGGCCCAGCAGAAGTTTTCAGTGCCCATTGCAGGGTCCTGTTTTCTCTGGCTGTCTCTCCCCCCGCACACCCTTGCTGAAGCAAACAACTGGGGAGTCAAGAAACCCCTGGACCTAGGAGTCTGCTTCTTGGTCGGGCCGGTGTGTTCAGGAGCATTTGTGCATGTGTGTGTGGCACAGCTGTCTGTCAGATCCCTGGATCCCAGGGATCCATTTTAACCCCTGGGATCTGTTGAGCTCTCGCTCTTCCTCTCCTTCCTCTCTCGGCTCTCTTCCTTTCTGGATGTCTTTCAAGGCAGCGCTAATTCTCTCTGCGCGTCAAAACCATTGTGGGTTCCCCATGCTGGGAGCCCCCTTCCTGCTACTGCCGTACCTGCCCTTGCTGGCTCTCCCCCTCCCTATGAAAGATGGTGCTCGCCCACAAGAGTTAGAGTGAGTGATTGGGAAAGATGACGAGGGAGGTTTGAAGGACTCCTGCACACAGTAAATCTTCACTCTGCAGGAGAAAGCGAGAGGGAGAGGAGGAGGAGGAGGAGGAGGAGGAACGCTGTGTCAGACTGAAGCCTAAATGAGTCCGAGCTGGCACGTCAGAGCAATCTTTATTTCCTCCTTTACACTGATATTGGGTGACCTCCAGATCCGTGTTCTTCCCCTCCTGGTGACCAGCAAAACTGCCTGAGGGAGTGAGTGGGGGAGGAAGGGAGCTCCAGGGAGCACAGCCCTCCCCACTCTCCTTAGCACGCCCGCAGGGGTAACAGTCCTCCCCTCCAGCCCCCACCCAGGCAGAACAGCCCTCCCCACCATGGTCAGCCCATATCCCAGGGAGAAACAACCCTCTTCCACCCAGTTTGCATAGCGTTGGGCCGCACAGCCTGCTTCCCTAGGGCAGGGTGGGGGATTATGGATGCTCATAGCAGGGATACAGCTGTCTTTCCTGAACTGTAATGCCTTTGGGGGTCAGTAGGGGCTCTCCTCCCGCCCCTCAGGCCTCAGAGGGAAATGCTTAAGAGGAACTTCGCTGGAAAGAGACTTTAGAAAAACAATGGCTGGGGTTGGAATGGCCATGGAGCAGTGGTTCTCAACCTACGGCCCAATCAGCACACAGCTGCAGCCCATGTGACATCCTCAGGGCCATACGGATAGTCAGTGCCGGCTCCAGGCACCAGCGTAGCAAGCAGGTGCCTGGGGCGGCCAATGAAGAGGGGGGCGGCACGTTCCGCGGGAGGCGGGGCCGTCACTCCCTTTTGGAGCGAAGGACCTGCCGCCGAATTGCCGCCGTAGAATGAAGCGGTGGTAGAGCTGCTGGCGATTGCGGCTTTTTATTTTTATTTATTTATTTATTTATTTATTTATTTATTGCTGCTTGGGGCGGCAAAAACGCTAGAGCCAGCCCTGCGGATAGTATATATAATGTGTGGATGTCGCCCACATAACACACACAGAGCTGCTTATGTGGCCCACAATGGTAAATAGGTTGAGAATCGCTGCCATGGAGATTCACACCCCACTCACACACACAGCCTTGTCCTCTCTCTCTTCCTTCACGGCTTCTCCTTACCCTTCTTGTCTTACCTTCACTTCCCCCCTTGCCCCTCTTCATTTTCTCTCTCACCCCCTCATCTCCACACCTCTGCTTCTCTCTGCTCATGCCTCCTTCCCCCTCCTTTTCCCCACTCCACTTTGCCCCCTCCCCTCGCCCCCCCTCCAAACACATGCTGCCTTCTCCCCTCACCCTCTGCCCACCCCCACCCCCACCCCCGTACATACACACACTCCCCCACTGGGATGCAGGATGCAGTTGCACAAACCCTGGCATATTGGCACTGGCCTCACTTTCAGTAAAATTACTTTTTCTTCATATTAGGCCAAGGCAAGAGTGCAGAGACATTTATGAAACTTTGTTTAATGTACTGAAAAGCCATCGGCTAGAACATTTAGGAAATTGATTTTCCTGGCATTGATGAACTCTTTTTATTTTACCCCAGTATTAATTACTTTTTTTTTTAAACAAATTAATTTAAGAGTCGTAAAACCTAACAAGTGAGCCAAACGTCAGTAGATCATATTCCCCTCTTCCCCCCCTTCCCACTGCCGACGCTGGTACGGGAGAAGAGGAGAATCCACCCCTTGCGTGACTCTTTGTCCCTCCATCTCTCTGCAGGGGAAGCTTCATCCCTGCGCGATTATGCCGCCACCACCATGAACGAGTTCCTGGGCATGTTTGGCTACAACGACCAGAACATGCGGGATGAGCTGACCCGCAAGATCAGCTTCGACAAGCTGAACGCTGCTACCTCAGAGGCCTCCTCTGCCACTGCCTCTCTCCCTGGTGAGGACGCCATGAGCAAGCGAGCCCGCTTCTCCAAATACGAGGAGTATATCCGCAAGCTCAAGGCCGGCGAGCAGCTCTCCTGGCCCATCCACCCGGCCAAGTCTGAGGACCTGAGCTCCAAGCTGGGCAAGGAAGCTTCATCAGTGCTGACGCAGCCCATCCGAGCACTGCCGGGGCCTGATGCCACCCTGCTAACAGAGACCAAAGCCACCATACTGCCCTTGCCCTCTCCGAGCAGCTCCCAGATGCAAGGCCTGATGTCGCGGGCCTCCAAGTATGACTTCTTCATCCAGAAGCTGAAGACGGGTGAGAGCATCAGGCCGCAGAATGGTAACACCTACAAGAAGACCTCCAAGTATGACCTGGAGAACGTGAAATACTTGCATCTCTTTAAGCCTGGCGAGGGCAGCCCAGATATGGGAGGGGCCATTGCCTTTAAGACAGGCAAGGTGGGCCGACCTTCCAAGTACGATGTGAGGAACATCCAGAAGCTCACTCCAGTCAAGGCTCCAACACCCAGCCTGGCCCCCAACCCTCTCGCCAGTACCCCCAGCAGTGCTCCAGTGGCTGGGCCCGAGCAGCCCGTCTCCTTGCCGTTCAACACCCCTGAGTACCTGAAGTCGACCTTCTCCAAGACGGACTCCATCACGACCGGGACCGTCTCTACGGTCAAGTAAGTCTCCTCTATTTTTCTCTTCCTTGCATTCATCAGGGAAACAAACCCGTTTGCGGGGGGCAGTTTAAAAAGATGTTTGCTCTCCTCTGACACTGTCCTCCCTTTGATTTCTTCAGTAGGAGCTTTTTGATTCGAATTCTGGCTAATGGCTGAAGCTGGGCATGGGCACCTTCTTGGTTCTCACAGTCCCAATTCCTATCCTGAGACTAAGCTATTGGGCCTGCATTGGACCTGGGAATACAGTAGAGAAAAGTGCTGGGGTGATCAGTTCACCAGTTCCCATAGGGCAGTGGTTTTCAAACGGGGGTATGTGAGCGCTCGTCAGGCGGATAATATCCCTTACAGACCTTTTCTTTCTGTTTTCATCAGTATATTATGACCCAATCTCAGATGGGGGTATGTGGTAGATTACACTATTTGGAAAAGGGTATGCAACCTAAAAAGTTTGAAAACCATTGCCATTGGGCAAAGCCAGGAGCTGAAGCCAGGAGCTGAGTTCTGGAGCCCGGCACCTTAAAGCAAAGATGTAGGAAGCCATGAAAGCTTAGCAGAGCATGATAGTGAGAGTTACTAGGCTGTGGAACAGTCTCCCAAGGGAAATGGTGGAAATCCTGTTGTTTGGGACATTTAAATCTAGGAACTCAGCCTGCAATGTCTGGGATATGGATTGGTTGTCTGATTGGCCTTCCTCATCTTTAATGTCTCTGATTCTAAGCAAACAAAACTTCAGTTATGGGGGTGTGAGGAACAATCCCCAGCATTGATGGGGTTCTAGCCTTCTTGAGCCCATCAGCTCCGATAGCCATGCACAGATCCTACCGTCCCCTCGTGACGTGTCTGTGGAAACAAGATGCAGAAAGAAGAGCTGCTGTCGACACTCACAGGTCAGAATCATGGCTGCTTTCTTTCTCTCTGTCTTCCAAATCTCCTAAACAACCAGCCCTGCCTGGATTAGGGCCCAATTCTGTTCCCATTGAAGTCAGCGATTTGATGATTAGATTAGATGTTCCTGTGCTGTATGACACATGAGGCAACCCAGTGTTTCCGCCTCCATCTGTCTAATGCCACGTTTCTTGCTCCATTGTAATCTGTTTCCAAGCTAGCAACATCTTTCTCAATGGTTTCATTATAGGTCATCTGTAGTCCTCCTCTTCTCCATCTTCCACCAAGTGGTATCCAGTCACAGGCTTGTCTAAGAACAGCGGTTTTTGACATGTGTACAACATATCCAAACCACTTCAGCCTTCTTTCTCGAATCATTGTCTGCTGGTCAGTCCTTTACAACATATCAGCATTGGTTACTTTATCCCACCAGCAAACCCCAAGTATTCTCTGCAAGTATCTCTATGGAATGTGTTAAGTTTCTTGTTGTGGGCTTCTAGCATTTGCCAAGTTTTGGAAGAATATAACAATATGGATATCACAGTGGCATTGTGTAACCTTATCTTGGTCCTTGTGTGAATCTCTCTATTTTTCCAAACATTTGCCGTTCTCAGAAAAGCTCCACTTTCCTGCCCAGTTCTTGCTTTCACCTACTTATGGGGTTGGCCATCTGCACTGATTGTGCTTCTGAGATATACGAACTGGTTAACCATGTTGTCGTCTTCACTGTCAATCACATATACACCAGTACTGCCGTCTCTTTCAACCATCATAACTCCTCTTCCAGCGATCCTGAAGTCAGTTGCATAACTCGCATTGACTTCACTTAGATGTATCTTTTCAGTCTGACCCATTTCTTACATAGACAGTCACGATTCAGTAAAACTTCTTCTCAGCTTTGGCAGGGAGATTCACATGCCATGTCTGACAAACCCACTGCCCCAGTTGGCACCAGTAGCCACCCCCTGCCTTGTTGGCAGACTCTGCACAGGGGCCAGGGATTGAATGAGCTATGAAGAAACCCAAAGGCTTTGTCTGCACTAGGGTTATTTCTCCTTTTGCTACCACTGATGCAGCTCCACAGGCGGTAACACTGGGGGAGACACCCATGTAGACAAGGTGCCCATGGCCACCAGCACCTTAACAACCATGTTTTGTAGACCTGCTTTGAGTAGGGTTAGATGCCATGGCACTTAAAACACCAGGGACTGCTTGGAGCCTTGTCTGTGCTAGGTTCCAGACGGTGCCACTGGAATGACAGAAACAATGGTGGGGAATCCTGGTACAGACACAGCCCTAGAGGTGTCCCCTCAAGGTAAGGACTGAGGTACATTGGCTGGGCATTGAGGGCGAAGCTAGTTCAGCTTCCACTAATCTTCTGTGGATAAACAAGCCTTGGGTTCTCCCATCAATCTGGCAATTTCCCCCAGCGTTCAGTTAATGAAAAATGGCTCAACATCCACATTTGCTCCTCCTTCCCCGAGACCTCACACATAAGAACATAAGAATAGCCAAACCAGGTCAGAACAAAGGTTCACTTAGCCCAGTAACCTGTCTTCTAACAGTGGCCAGTGCCAGAGGCTTCAGAGGGAATGAACAGAACAGGGCAATTATTAAGTGATCCATCCCCTGTCATCTAGTCCTAGCTTCTGGCAGTCCAAAGTTTAGGGACACCCAGAGCATGGAGGTGCATCCTTGACCATCTTGGCTAATAGTTATTGATGGACCTATCGTCCATGAAATTCTCTCATTCTTTTTTGAACCCAGTTATACCTTTGGCCTTCACAACATCCCCTGGCAATGAGTTCCACAGGTTGACTAAGTGTTGTGTGAAGTACTTCCTTATGTTTGTTTTAAATCTGTTTCCTGTTAATTTCATTGGGTGACGCCTGGTTCTTGTCTTAGGTGAAGGGGGAAATAACATTTCCTTTTTCACTTTCTCCACACCATTCATGATTGTATAGACCTTTATCATATCCCGCCTTAATCTCTTTTCTAAGATGAACAATCCCAGTCTTTTTAATCTCTCTTCATATGGAAAAGCTGCCCTATACCCCTCCTCATTTTTATTGCCTTTTTCTGTACTTTTTCCAATTCAATTTTTTTTTTTTGAGGTAAGCCAACAGTATTCAAGCTGTGGGCGTACCATAGATTTATATAGTGATATTATACTTTTTTTTCCTTAATATCTATCCTTTTCCTAATTGTTAGCTTTTTTGACTGCCACTGCATTGAGCGAATGTTTTCAGAGACCTATCTACGATGATGCCACAATCTCTTTCTTGAGTGGTAACAGCCAATTTAGACCCCATCATTTTGTATGTATTGTTGGGATTATGTTTTCCAATGTGCATTACACAACACTGAATTTCATCTGCCATTTTGTTGCCCGGTCACCCAGTTTTGTGAGATCCTTTTGTAATGCTTCACAGTCAGCTTTGGACTTAGCTATCTTGAGTAATTTTGTATCATCTGCAAACTTTGCCACCTCACTGTTCACCCCTTTTCCCAGATCACTTATGAGTATGTTGAACAGCACTGGTTCCATGTACAGATCCTTGGGAGACCCCATTATTTACCTCTGTCCACTATGAACATTAACCATTTATTCCTACCCTTTGTTTGGTATCTTTTGACCAATTACTGATCCATGAAAGGACCTTCCCTCTTATCCCATGGCTGCTTACTTTGCTGAAGAGCCTTTGGTGTGGGACGGTATCAAAAGCTCTCTGAAAGTCCAAGTACATTATATCCACTGGATCACCACCCTTGTCTAATAAATTGGTGAGACATGATTCCCCTTTACAAAAAACGTGTCGACTCTTCCCCAATATGTCGTGTTCATCTACGTGTTTGATGATCCTGTTCTTTACCACACACCAAGATCATGTGGAGAAGGGGGGCACATGATTGTGGCCAGGTGTAGAGTTTAGACAGGCTGTTTCTGCAATGGAAACTCTCCTGTCCTGGTACATGGGGTCAGACTAGATGATCTAATGGTCCCTTCTGACCTTGAATCTCAAAATGTCTGGGTGCAAATAGGGAGGAAGGGACATGGTTTGCTCCACTTCTTTGTTCCTTGGTCTGGATTCTCTTGCCTCTCACTTGGCGCCTTGTTGAGGCTTGAAATATTTTTTGTGCGAGATAGCTATTGTCACCCATTACCACGGCTGCCTGGTTTTGCTCCCACATATTCACTAAAGAGACCTCTGTGGCAGCTGAGGGGAGAGGCCCCTGCTTTCTGGCCCTCCTGCCTTTCCACTGGTTTAAGCATCAATAGCTTTGGGTTGTGGAACTCAGTTGGGACTTTCTGATGTCAGCCCCAGTGTCTATACAGCCTGTTCAGTGCATTGGTCTGTTTTTTGTTAGCCAGGAGTCCCCATTGATAGCAGGGCCAGCACCTACATGCCATATGTCGTGGGATGACAGATCCTATTGAGTCCACCCAACTGCCTCGTCCCTGTAGAGAGGAAGGCTGATCTTATGGTCAGTGTACAGGCCTGGAGCCAGGAGACTTGGGTTGTTTCCCTGAGTATGCCAAAGTTGCGCTACGCAATCTCAAGCAAGTCACCCTCCCCTGTGCCTTAGTTTCCCTATACGTAAGGCCGGGGTAATGATATCTACCTCCTGAGTGGCACAGATTAATACATTACTGTCTGCAAACAGCTTTGGGTTCTTATGGTTAAAGTGTATGGAAAAGGGCAAAGGTTTGTTATCAATTGCAGCTAAATTCACCTGGCCCCCAATCTAGGGAGCCTTCCAACCACCCCAAAATGTCCTGTCTGTTGTGTGGCACGTTGTTTCGTTAGACGGTAGCATTATCCACTCTGCTGGCTGTGCTGTGGAGCCCATGCCTGCCCTCATGGTGCAAGTCTCCCAGCTGTGCCCGGAGCCTGTTGTAAATGCCTCGTTACAGAGCTCTCACTCGCTTGCTCTCTCCTGGGTTCATTGGTGTCTCTTGCTCCAGACGGCAGGTGGGGGCAGCTGTTGTTATGAACACTGGATTATAAATATGTATATATGCACAGCACCTTATCGTGATCAGTCCCCAGGTCTGCGGCTCCTTGACAGAGGAAGCCAATCAAGAGTCTCAAGGACACCCGGACACCCCTTCGGATCTCTGCTCCCACGCCCATACGTGTTGGGCATTCTGGAGCTGCACCCGGGGGCTGCTCACCAATCCTGCTTCGCTTTTGCTTCTCTTCGGGATTCCAGTTTTATTTCCTTTCTCTCACCCTCTCGCTCTTTCATTTCTGTGGCGGATTGGGTTCACAGTGACTCAGTGATCCCTTCTCTAACCACAGGACTTCCTGAGGCTGGGGGAAGTGGGAAATGCTGACGGGGGTGCAGCTGGCAGTGGGGTTTGCACTGAGGCTTCTCCCCAGCTGCTCTCTCTCTCTCTCTCTC